TCAGGTCATATCAGTGAGCATTTCTCAGGTTTAAACTGTGACAGAAGAAGGTTACTGACCTTGGTTTGTTGTGCAGCTCAGCAGTGAGATCAGAACTAAAGAGAATTGACACTCAGGTTGATTTGAGGTGAACATAAAGAACAACTCCACACAAACAGCTGACAAACACACAAACTCATCTCTCTAGTATATCTGCTCATTTTCAATTTGATGATACAATCAAGGGGGGAGAGCGGTTAGCACTGCTGCCTCGCAACACTGTATTGGATTTGAATCCACACACTTGCTGAGGTCCTTTGGTGTGGAGTTTTTTCTGTCTGACCTACTTCATAGTACCAGAACACCTAGAGTTTGTTTCCTTCCACAAATAAATAACGTTTATATTGTGATTGTTCCAAGCCAGCCATGAAAGTTAAATATGTGTTTGACGGATTTCAAAATAAAATGTTGTGTGGTTCTGTTTGAAGATTAGACTCATAGTCTAAAACACTTTTAAAAAGTTTGAACAACAAAAGGGAATTTGATGCTAAAAAAACAGGTGAAAGCTCTCACATCCATCATTTTAATTAATAATCTAACTCAGGGATGAGACGGAGCTGGAGTCTAAATCCACTGTTTTAAAATTACTGACATTCACACGTACGGCCAGTTTAGTATCATTAACCAAACAAGTCTTTGGACTGTTGCAGGAAACCACCAGACACTAACCACTGCACCTCTGTGAAACCTGTACTGTTAGATATAAATTCTAATTATTTTTATTGTTTTTTGTTTGTTGTTTTTTAAACAACTCTTCTTATATTTATATCTAAAATTTCAATGCTTCATTGTCCTCTTACTCAGTTTGAAATTTTATATAAAACAACTCTTGAAGTAACCTTTATTTATATGTGTACTGACTTTCTGTAAATATATATGAAATATCCACTGCATTTAAATAACCCAGTGAAGTCATGTGTCCACTGTGCAGCTGTGTTGATATAATGAGTGAATGATTTGAGCTTTTCACTGCCTGCTGTGTTTCCTCGACTCCTGAGCAAAGATAAAGAGTCAGTTCAGACCTGCAGTTGGTCCTCGTGGTGTTTGAACTTGAATTCAGCCTGATTTGTTTTTCATGTCTTCTCCTCCGACAGTCAAAGTACAAGAATTCAAACAAACACAGAGATTCTACTTACAGAGCAGACACAGCACAGATGTTTCCTTCATCGTCCTTCTCACTCATTTGAGCTTTTTTTTCATTTCTCTCACTGACACCAAGTAAAGCCCGCCCTCTTCCTCTGAGCACCAGCTTTCTATTGGTTCACAGACAATGGCGGGTAACTCACTTTTAATTTCATGCAAAAATATGCACAATGAGATTATTTTGACACGCACACCACAAACTGCAGTTCCTTTAATTAATCATTTTGAAAACACTGTTAATGAGAACTGCTGCTCAAGCAAAAATCCCATTATAGCAGCAATAGATAAAGTCTATTTGGATGTCAAGGGGTTCCAGAATCAGCTCAGCAGGCTCCAATCCAGCTCATTGGACAGTGTCATAGAGTCAGAGTCATAGATTTTGTACTTTTAATTTCTAATTTAAAGACAAATGGTAGCTACAGAAGATTATCTTTAGACATGAATTAATGGTGGAGATGATGAGACACCAGAGATCAAGGTGAGACAATTGTGTTTATGATTTGCTCATAAATTCAGTCTAACATTTGATTGCTCAGCTATAGTTGTGATTGTGGTAAAAGTGACCAGTGCATGCACCTGTGCATAGAAACAGGTTTGGTCTAAGCTCACAAAAAAGCAGCATTTTGAGACAAGATTGAAAGTATGAGAATAATAAAGTAAATGTAGTCGATTGGAATTTGTTGAAGTTTATTTAAATGCATGTGGAGTCATCACAGTATACAGAGTATTTTTCTTCAAAGCAGTTAAACACATATTTAGTTTTATACAGAAACAAAAAGAAAACAAACAAGCAGCAATGCATGTAAAACTTGAATAATAAACATATTCATCATATGGACAGACTTTACTTATTCAAACTGAAGTAACAAACAGACTGAAAAGTCCTTCATGGAAGGAAAAGTGAAACAAAGCTTTACAGGTCAGATGATCCGACTCCTCAGCTACATAGATAAATGGATGTCTTTGGTTTAACATCAGTGTAATAGCATTCAGTCATTCAATCCAATGAATAGCTCCTGATGAGATTAATGATTGTCTATAATCCACAATAATTTATCTGCACTCACTGATCAACACCTACAGTGTTTGTGCTTTCAGTTGGTCAGTAATTATACTGTAACAGCTGAGGATCAGTTTGTGTGGTTCAAACCACAAGTTTGATCTAACAAACATCTGCTGAACCTGATAGGAAACAAACTATAACCAAAGCTGTTCATTATAACAGTAACATTATAACATTTTGCATGAAATAAAACAGACTATTTTGTGTAGAGTACCACTGAAATAATTTTTGCCTTTTCAAAAATCTTATTTCAGGAGTTAACTTTTTCTTGTCTAAAATCTGAAGTCTTGGCTGTTCCACGTACATAAACCTCCTAGGACCTGGCGTCCACATGTGTGAACATCACATTTTGGGTTATTTAGACCAAAATACAAAATGCTCTACAAGCACAAGGACATTATACTGCCACTGCTCTATCGAAATGTAAAACGAATGTGGATCTCATTTCTTTCAGAAACAAAAATCAGGTTTTAAAAAAAAAACTCTGGCAATTATTTATTTTTTACATTCATCAGGTCCCAATATGCCCAATTATCAAAGAGAAATTAAAAATGCAAGCCATGAAAGAGCTCGGGTCTTAGGAGGTTAAGGCAGAAATGTAACAGATATTTTTTAAATAATGTAAACTGTTGAAATGAAATGAGTGACCAACCTGAGGCTACAACAAATACACTTTCGGATACCATATCATGCAGTACACTGAATAAATGAGTTGATTTAAAGCACATTTTCTCCATTCAACACTGAAGATGAGCAAACATTGTGGTGTTTGCACAAAGACACGCCAACATAGTCTGAACAGGTCTGAGGATATTCAGAGAAATTTAAAAATCAAACTAAATTCTGCATGTCTGACGTTTGTCTGTTGGATGATGAGATCATTCCACTCCGCTGAGATCAATGATGACGCTGAGAAGTAGGAACATCAGCCTGGCACCCAGCTTTCAGCTGTTAAGAGGTCTGTTCGCAGAGATGCTGATCTGAATACGGAGATGGACTTTGTCCTTTTGTATGGTTTCTGCATTTCACAGACCATAAAACTAAAACAACAACAACAACAACAACAGCAACAACAACAACTGACAGACCGACGATCAGTCCAACAGATCCATCCTCTGTGTCTCCTCCTGTCTGACCTGCAGGTGAGAAACAGGTGTGAGGTGTCAGCTGTCAGGTAGGTGATGAGTGAAGAACAGAACAGAATCCATTTCCTCTTCAAACTGCTGTCAGACATTATCTACTGCACTCTGATCACATCACTCAGACCAGCTGCTTTCTACAAAGTCTCATCAACAACATCTTTAGAAACAAACATCAACAACCAGGAAGCAGCTTCACCTCTGATCACACACACACACTCAACTCTACTCACTCACCTGGAGGAACAACATGAACATAGGTGGTGTTGATGAGCTTCAAACCTTCTCTCTCTTCTTGGATGACACGACACTCGTATGTTCCAGTATCATTCATCGTCACATTGTTCAGAATCAAAGACACGTCTCCATCCTTCATCTGTCTGTCCTGCAGATCCACCCGGTTCTTAAAAGATGGATGCTGGTTGACTGGATCCATCTTATTATTCCGGTACAAAAGCACATATTCATCTCCCAGGTCAGCTCTGCTCCACTCTACACTTATGATGTTGTTGTTTGGTGCTCGACATGGCAGAGTGACAATCTTTCCAGACTGAGCTGTGATGTTCTTCTGGTCTGTAAGAGGAAACAACACAGAGCAGAGAGGCTAAAGGTCAAAGTACAACTGTTCACTTCAACAGCGTGAGGAGTAACACACACACTGATAATAAGTGAACATAATGTGTGAGAGAAAGCAGCCTCTCATTATAAGACACTGTGAGTCTCTGCATGCTGCCTTTATGGAGCTACAGCTGTTTGTATACACTGAACTAAAAGCTTTGCATCTGTACACAGGGCTGGATGTAATGAAATCTTAACCAGGAAGCTTCTTAGGGTGGCATGGAAATCAAATGAGCTGGCAAAATCAAAGTAATCTCTTTACACATATGCAGCTTTTACATTGTGTAATATAACTTAAAATGTAGCCAATGCTTTTTTTGTCATCTACAAAACTGCTAGGTGTGGCAAGAAATCCTTATAGGGTGCCACATGCCACTCCATGCCACCTCTGTAGATCCGCCCTTGGCTGTATACTGACTCCTGAAACTACAACACATCACACTGACACACACATTACACTTCTTTGTCACTGTGAGATCTGATCACACCAACATGTTAGGTGCACACAGACTCCACCCAGCCTTGTGTCACCTTCACAGAAGTATTGGGGATATTATTAAAATAGTTATTTTTTTACATCTTCTTTTTTGCATTTTTTATTACTTGCTGGAAACTGTAATTAGTTACAGTTGTAGTTAAATTACATTACTGCATTACTCCATAACATGGTCTGAGATCTCAGTTTACTCATGAAGGAGAAACTTTAAGCTACAGTCCCACCACATCTTTCTGTTAGTGTTTGGGCTTTAACACACAGTGCACAACAAAGGTAAAAGCAGCCCAAAGAGGCTTCCAAGTGACTGCCACACAGATTCTGCTATAGGAACAGGTAGAGCTAGAAATGCAGGAGGAGCAGCTCAGACTGTGGCTGTGGCAGCTGGTTGCTGCTGCTGAGTGAAACTTAATTCTAAGTGTAACTTCGGGTCCCACAAATGTACATGTGTCTGTTTGGAGAGCAAATGGATAAGGACGGAAACATGCTCCTGTGTAGTTCTTCAAAATCCCAACTGCATGTCAGTGGATCAGAATGGCCTGTGGGGCTACACTAGAGTTCATCAGGAACAGGTGAAGTGCAAAAAATTAGAGATATAAAAAAACAGCATGGAAAGCACAGAGTGGCTGCAGTGAACACTCATTGTTGTAACAATGGCTGTGACTTTAGCTCTTTGTGTGTTATAACTTCACTCTTCTCTCCAATTGGCTGAAGATCAACAAACAGCACAAGGAAGATTTGCCCACAGACCGGTTGTACCACATACACTGCCTCCATCAACATCAAACACTGTGCAGGTAGATGAGCCGTCCGTCTGCCTTCATATTACTGCACTGAAGCATAAAAGCAGCATTAGAGTGGCACCTCCAGATGCCACTGCTTTGCTGCAACAGCTGCCTCTACTCAGAGCAGGGCAACCTGTTGCCACGGCTGCACTGGTGCACTTTTTTCCTTTCTTTTCTTAAATGCGCACCAGCACAAAAGTTAGGTGCATCCAATTTTTTTCAACCGCATCGCTTAACACTGCAGTTTTACATTTCACTTATTTGGGCAGAAATTGCTGTCCATACAGACAATATTGATTTGTAAATGATTAACTAACAATCTTGTTAACACAAAGTTCTTTATTTGGAGCACAGTTCTACAAGAAAAATAAGTTACTGAAAAAGTGATTGTGCTTAAAGTGCTTTGGCACTCTTTGGCAATATTGTTCACAATGTTAAACTTAATCATCATCTCCTCTGACGACCTGTTTACTGCTGCCTGCCGCTGAAAGGCAATGGGGAGAGGGGACACTTGGGCAGTGCATTTATCACAGTATATAATGCATTTTCTGGGCACACTGCGCATTTTCAGCATTTCATTTCGAAACATATTAGCACCAGTCACAAATGCAGTATTGCTGGCCATGGTCTTTCCACACTCCCAACAGTAAATGCAGGTCATCAGGTTGTCAGCTTTACTGTATCTTAGCGAGGGAAACTGGTCAAGCCACTCTCTTTGAAATTCTATTTTTTTAATTATTATTATCATATATATATTTTCCTCCTTTTACTTTCAGTGGGCTCAGGCTCGGAGTCAATCAAATATGGCTCCTTATCTGATGCCGTCTCCGGGCCAGTGTTTGACATAACCTGAGAGGTTGATGGCTCCATATCATAGCACTGGCTATGAATTTCAAACGATCAGGCCTTAACTTATCAGAAAGGTTATCAATTGTTCTTTTCATCTTTTCTCATTACCCACAGCTACATCCAATTCTGACGGGTGTAGGCCACTAACAAAGGGCTGGGTATCATCACTGATTTCTATAATCGATTTGATTCTGATTCACAAGGTCCCGATTCAATTCGATTTCCTCAGACAGAAATAGTGCTGGGCGATATGATGATATATATCGTGTGGACGATAGAAAAGTGTCTATCGTGCCATTTGTCTTCTATCGTTTCAAATTTTATAAATTATTACATAAAATACATAATTAACCCTTTAAAACTGGTCGGAGCAGGCACACTCCGTTTTACCTAATTATTTTTAAATCCCTGTAGAACTGGAACCACGTAAGCTAGCGAAATAATTTTTTTTGCATGCGAAACCGGAGGAGTTGTACTTACATCTTATGCCATTAGCTTGTCCTAGGTCACGGTTTCCTTCCACATAAAGCTTTGCAAAAATTGCATAAGAAGCACTTGCAGCAACAAAAACATAATATTCCAGAAACACACTTTGCCGATGTTCATAACACTTCCTATGTTGGCATATACGTCAGCGCGAACTATCGCATGTCCGCCATTACCTGCCCAAAACCGGAAGTGACGTCATTTACGCGAAAGGGCCTTTTAAGCCTATGTTGGTATTTTTAAAAGTCATGTTTGACTTTATGCTTTTCTGTATTGTTTCTGGGATGCTTAGAACTCCAATTACACTGTTGGAAATAGTTTATTTTGATGCATTATTATATTTTCATTTTTCCTGCAGTATATAAAAATTAGTGCATCTCAAAAACAAAACTATGAAGACACTCAAAATAAATTTCTTGTGGTTGGAAACTATTCTGTGCAACTTTTTTGTATTTAGTTTTGAGGGATAAGCCTCTTAAATTTTTCTAACTAGAAATATATGTAAAAAAAAAACAATTTTTTTTTGTAGTTTATTGCTCTACAGTTTTTTGCAATTTATGTAGTTACTATGGACTTAATGCATACATATTATTAAAATTTGGGCTATACCGGTTGTATTGATATATGGAAACTTGAAATGCTCCCACAAATGGCACTACAGCATGTAAAAACATAAAGATAAGCTCTGGCGGACTTGGTTCTATGGTAGGTCTTAAAGGGTTAAATAGCCTGTGGCAAATATAGTAGTGTTGTCTTCTCACTATACATGCTCTTAACTTTATGCAAGAGAAAATAAAGTATAAAAAATAATATTTTTCGCATAGAAACTCCATCTCGTGGTTTGCGACCTGGTGCTGCTGTACGTGCACCAGGATTTGCGACATACTTTACAGTAACTCAAAAAAAAATCTCATTTGTTGTTTTAACTATATGGTGGTTGCTAAAATGGTTTGTGAGCTCCTGGCGTTTCTGGCAAAATACATTTATATTTAAAAATCGATTCAGGATTTAATGAATCAATATCACGTTATTGAATATTGAAACCCACCCCTGCTACTCACCTCTGTCTATCTGTCTGCACTTTCAAACGTACATACACGTAGGCCGACAGGAATATCTGGACCACAGCCAATCAGGGAGGTCCCGGTCCTGACTATGTCTTATTAGTTTAGACCACGATATGGGCAAAATGTGTGTTTGTTGTTGACCACACGGAGACTTTCAGAGTTGCAGAGATTTGAGACTTTAGACATGTGCGACCAAATTGGTCACGTATTAGAATAATCCTAGTTCAGAGGTAAACTAAAATATAATATTTAAAAGATACCCTCGGTATGCTGAACTCTGCAGCACAGGAGCCCCTTTGCACTGTATTTAACAACTCGCAAATATAAAATAGTAGCAGTACGGATCAGTAGCCTCTTCCATCTGAAATGGGAAGTCAGAAATTCCTGCTTCTTAGTCAAAATTACTTTCAAATAGAACAGCCTTATTTTGTACTTTAAATTCACAAAGTCTGAGAAAGTTCTCCAACCTCAACTCCAAGTCCAACATGGCAGCAGTGCAAACAAACAGTATAAAAACTAAAACTTGTATCAAACTTGTATCATTTACGGTCAGTTTTGTGGTATTGTGTTAGCATTGTGCTGTATGGCTAGTTACAGATGGATAATTAGCAGAATAATAAATCGGTGGGCCTCCAGCATGTAACAGGTAGTTAGTGTCCATCCACATCTATGGACTCTACTTAGCTACAAGCAACATAAATAGTGTTTTCCTTTCTTTTCTGACCAATTGTGCTGGAAGGAAGTTAGCTCAGGAGAGACGTCGCAGTATGACCTTCATCAGATCTCTGAGGTAACTGTAACAAGAGTTTTAATTTTAAACTTTTGCTAATGTTTACAGGCACTGCTGCCATCTTGGATGGTGAATTCAGGATTATTGGGGATTTTTCCAGTTGGAATCTGAAAGCTGAATGTCGTACTGTAACTCGTTACCGGGTTACATAAAATGATTCATACTCCATCTTACTTTTTATTTCAAAGTGAAAATGAATTTGGTTTCTCGTAGTTAAATCTTACCTGTCGAGACAAACACGAAGAGGTTAACAAACAGGAAAATCAAGCAGAACGAAGTAAATGTTCGGTGTGACATTTCCGTAGCCTAGCTAGCTAACGCTTCTTGTCAAACCCTAGCGGACGCCACATGATGACGCACATCCGTGGGAGTATACAATCGTTTCAGTTTTAAGGCCAATTTTCAATTATATATTTTGTCAGTAAAATATTATAGCCATGGAGATGCTGAAAAACCTTGAGAAGCTCTCCAGAAATTAAAAGAAACAAAAAACAAAACAAAAACTGAATTATTAGCTTCCTGTCTCGACTTTTTCTATTTGAATAAAAGCGCTGATGCCAAGTTGTTATCTGACTGGTGACACCTATCGTTCAGGAGAAAACTGTGGCCGGTCCGGTGACTAGCGTCTTTGGGTCATGAATCAAAAGTGGACCTGAGATACATTTTATCTGGTTCGTATTATTTTTAGTAGTTATATTAGGCTGATTTGGGCTCAAGTGGTTTAAATCATTGGGTTTTTAATTACTAATGTGATGCTGTCAAACTGCGGAGTAACTTCTTGATGACAGTAACAAAGAAACTTGATCATTCATAGATGTTGGAAATTCACGCAAAGATGAAAGATGAGAGAAAACCTTTTTTTTAGTGAGTCATTAGTTATCTGATAGATTGTTCCATCCAAGGATATTAAGCCGTCTGTTATTAACTAATAAGAAAGAAAGAAATGCAAGATTAGGTATGAAATTGTTGAGAAAGTAAACTTAAGTAAGATAGTGCTAGTTTATCAAATTGCACTTGATTAGCAGTCCTTACTTTTAAAAATAATCTCCGTCTTCCTCTCCTATCCTGTTCTGTCTTTTTTTTCTTTACACATTTTTTACTGTGTTTCTCTCCGTGAGAAACAGATTGTGTGCCAAGGTGGGGCAATTAGACGGATTTATCGACTATCGACAATAGGCTGAGCATTTCACCGATCGTTTTTAAAAGAGCGATTTGTTTATTTATTTGCTCATGAGTAAGTTTGCTAATAATAATAATAATAATAATAATAATAATAATAATAATGTTTGTTAAAGCTAACAGAAGCAGTCAGTGGAAAAAAATAATAGCGTTGTTTTAACAGCACCCCCCTCAGAGTGCGTCCAAATGCAGCGATTCATTTACTCAAACTTAGAACAGAAAGAAAGGCAGTATGTTCAGAAAAAACAAAAACATTTTATTTAAATTTAAAAAAGACAAAAACAAACAAAAAACACAATGGTGAGGAGGGAAACAAAGAGAAACTGGTTCTTTTCCACTATAACTGTCGTACATACTTGACCAAAAAAACCAAAATTACACAAAAAGTACATTAAAAATCAAAATGTCTCTCCTAGCGAACATTTAAAAAAGATCTCAGATGTAACGTTAAGTCTTTTGTGCAATTTGGCACATCTCAAATAAATAAATAAATGAATAATCCAAAAAGTGCACTAATACTGAAACAAATAAGAAAAGAAGGTAAAATAGTCCCTTAAAAGAAGCGTATAAATTCTAAACATGCAAATCAGTTCGTGCATGATTACTTTGCTCCGCCTAAAAGTTACCTACACAAATATATTGCCTATCGTTATCTATTGGACTGACAAATGTCAGTTGAGAAAATCACATACCTTAGTGTGGCAAACTGCACAGAAACAGTTTGCTTCTTCTGATATTTGCTGACATATTTCAAACATTTAGTTTGAAATATGTCACTTCTATCCATCCATTTATTCTCCCCACTGCAGTTCTTATCAGTGTCGCTATCCCAGCTATAGTGTGAGATCCGTCAGTTTAAAAAAATGTTAAAAAGGAAAAAGTTAGTCTCCAGCAGAGCTAGCTAAATACTGAAGTACTACAACAATAACTTCAGTGACTTCTGCAACATGAGCAGGAATGACAGAAATGCAGACCAAAGAGAACTTTCTCATAATTGTACTGTTTGAATCCTATGGACTGGTAAAGCCTACAGAAATCCAAAGGATGCAACCTCAGTACACCTGATAATGGATTGGATTTATATAGCGCTTTTCAAGGCACCCAAAGCGCTTAACAATGCCTCTCACTCTCACATTCACACACTGGTGGAGGCAAGCTACAGTTGTAGCCACAGCTGCCCTGGGTGCACTAATGAACACAAACGTTCTATTGAAGCATTTCAATGACAAAATTGTGACACAAATGCTTCAGAAATGTACATAAATAAATAAAACAAAGAAGAGACTCCTGATAAATCATATCAGAAATTGAAGACACACAAAATAAAAAGCAGGTTTCAGTAAAACTGAAACCCAAACATGGTGTATAAAAACTAAAACTCAGTCCTACAAGGATCATAAAGGAATAAACACTCAATATTTCCTGAAATAGAACTTACTCAAAACAATAAAGAAAATAAAATTGTAAATCAACATAATAGTAAAAAATAACTTACAGAAAAGGAGCAGCAAGAAACCAAACAGAAAACACTGAAAGACAAAATTTACGAGGCAACTCAAACCCCTGGGAGCTAAACCAGCGATCATGACAGAGTCCAGAGCTCCAAAGATCCTCTTTGTGATTGAGGTGATTTTCGTCTTATTTAGATTCTGTCAGATAAAGTCTGACAGGTTTTGGTTCTTCAGATGAAAAAACACTTTGAATTCATTTCATATGATGTGTTTTCACAGATGAAACCAGCCAACAGTAAATCAAATGCTTCACACTCCACATGACGTTCATCTGTAACCAGGAAAGTGAAGCTTTAATCCTGGTTCAGATGGATTAACATGAGCAATCTGTTAATCCACTGAAGCTCACAGACTTCATCAACCTGTCAGATTATCTAAAAGACTGAAAGACGTCATTTTAAAGACTTACTGTTGTTCTGAAGGATCTCTGAAACCCTCAAACGCTCTTCTGATCATCAGGATGGGAAATTATCCACTGAGAGCCAATAGAAAAAAGAAAGGAAACAAACTTGACCTTGGTTTGGTCTCTGCCTGCACTAAACAGCCCCAGTGAACAATCTAACCCGTATTTCCTTGTCAGCTGTTTAATACGGACACACCTTAGACCTGTTTGACTTAATGCAGCGTCGTGGCAATATATGACTGACCCTGCTGACTGGATCTGAGCCGTGTATTTGACAAACAAATACCACAAACATAATGAAAGTAGCAGAGAGGTGACAGCAACAGGAAGTTAATTCTCTGGCACAGGTGGATGTGTAGACTTTGTAGACTGTCTGTGTGTTTAGAGTCGAGATAAATGACGAATGAAGGGTCTCATGACAAAATGATAATATTAAAAGTCAAAGGTGTCTTTGTACCCAACAAATATAGACACTAATAAGAGAACATAAATAAAAGAAGAACAGTTAATATTAAACACACACATTACAGAAAATGTCAAAAGAATTATTCTCAAAATATACTGTTGTACCTACAGAGTGTACTGATTAGCGTAAAGGTTGCTGGTTTGATTCCAGCTGGAGACACAAATCACTGTTGGACTGTCAGGAGGGGCACCGGGTATAAAACTCTGTAAATCAAAATAAGGGGCACTAACTGCTGTGGGGTCGTCATGTGACCAGGAGCAGTCACATGTAACTACTTTCTCTTTTACTCAACAGTGTTGAATGTAACAGTGTTGTTACTTTCATCTGTACAAAGTTTGTGTAAATAAGTTCTCACAGACAGAAAATCTGTGACAGCACCTCCCACCTGACCACTTCAGAATCAGCTGAGGATATTTGTACAATCATTTATTAAAGGTTCTTAAATACTACATATATATTGGGAATTACATACCCCTGCAATAAACAGCAGTGTTGGTTAAATATATCTATCATTTTGTGCCCTCATACTTATAGTTCAGGATATACATACATGACATTTTCAGGACTAAAAATCTTTGTTAAACTCTGTTTCCAAGTATTCTGAATGTTGACATTTCCTCTATAAAGATCTAAAGGAATCTCTAAAAACAGTTTTGTGGTTGTGGTGAAGTGAGTCACATAAAGAGTGTCACATTTCAGAAAAGCCACAGTTTTGCATTTCCTGGTCAGACTGGTTCAGCTGGCAGTGTTGGTTTGTTGTTGGTACAGCTGGACTCTGGGTGTGTCAGCGCATATCATCATATGGCCTTCTGTAAAAGTACGTTCATCAAGGACTAAAAGACTAAGTGGATATTAATCAGATACTAATTATGTACATTTTTGCTTATTTTCCTGTTTATTATTCCTCCACTGAAACACGTCAGCATGATTAGTTAAAAGACATCAGGACATATGTATGTGAAGGTTCTCAGTCAACCAGGTCATCGTAGTCTAAGGAACTTGACAAGAAAAGAACCACACATATTGCTGTATACATTGGGAGGAACACCCTTCAATTGGTGGAGGAAACTAGGATTATACGAACCATCTCGGTTTCAACCTAAGATGCAGACAAAGCAGAGTTTTTCCCAAGAGTTTCAATCAATCAATCAAAATTTATTCATATAGCACATTTAAAAACAACAGTTTTGATCAAAGTGCTTCACAAATTAAAAAAATAAAATAAAATAAGATAAATACAACGCAAGACGAGACAAACATAGAAACCAACCAAATGATAATCAAACTATCTTACATCAAAGCCCGAGCAAAAAGATGGGTCTTTAAACAAGATTTAAAAGACTGAACAGTCTCAGAAGAGCGAATGGCAATAGGTAGGTTGTTCCACAGTCTAGGAGCTACAATAGCAAAGGCACAGTCGCCTCTGGTTTTCAACCCAGACTTAGGTTGCATTAAGAGCATCTGGTTAGAAGATCTTAGTGCTTTTATAGGATTATACAAATGAAAAAGTTCTGTTAAACAGCTAGGGGCAGTGTTATTTAAGATTTTATGAGTGAATAAAAGTTTTAAAATCAATGCGAAATTTCACAGGAAGCCAGTGTAACTTGGCTAAAACTGGAGTCATATGATCATGCATTCTGGCACCCGATAAAAGAGTTTGCGCCTTGGATCCACGGTCAGGGAACACAGAGCAGAGCTGATTCTAGAGAGAGCACAAAAGCAACTTCTAAGTGAAAGGACAGGTCCATTTTACTATAGATGCCCTTTGGAACAAGATTAGCCAGATTCTGCAGGAACTGAAAACCCTTCTACCCTCCCCTATTTTAGAAGACGTTTTTAGGTTTGTGGACAAGGCTCAGCGGGCCCAACACAATAAAGGACAAGAAAGAAAACTCAGGAAAATCCACACTTTGCTAATGTTAAAATCTCTCAATTCTTTTAATCTTTGGGCTGAAGGAAGGACAATACTCGGTGTATAAATGCTCAATCAACAATTCTTTTATTTCCATACAATTCAATACTTGTGAGCATAAGCCATCATGATGGGGAGACATGCATGAAGAGGGTCACAGCAAATCTCAAACTGGTGGAGGGTTACTCAAGCTCTTATAGCCTTTAGTGGCCCCCACCTAGTAGTAAAAGCCTAAACATTCACATTCTTTCTCTGTTACGGCGCCTAAGTTATGACCTCGGCTCCCTGTCTTTCTGCTCTCTGTAAAGGTGGGGGTATGGTGTGTACAGCGTCTC